TAATTATGTAACAAGTTAAACTTTTACTCCATTAATAAAGATCATGAGTAATGCCTCACTTTAACATTAAAAAAAAAAACATGTAAATTTAGACTTACAAAATTTTTATGAATTTTTTTTTTATTTTTTTTTTGCTTCAACAATATAAATTTTCAAAGAATCAGCAGCAGTTTTCATCTTATCTTCACAACAATTAAGAAATTTCAAGAAATCTTTTCACCAGTTATTTTATTTTTTATTTTATTGTTAATAAATTTAAAAATACAGTATATATATAAACTTTTATTATATTTATATTTTGGTAAGAATCGATAATAAGGTTAGAAATGGCCAGGCAAACACTTAACAAATTGTAGATTTGATTGTTTAAAAAAAATATTTTTTATTTAATCATTGATTTTTTGTGACACAAGAAAATGTAAAGCAGCGATAAATATTTTTAATAATAGATAAAAAAAACAATTTAATATGTATATATATAACCTTATTACATGGAATATAAATAATTGACAGTCCTGTATATACCAGTACTTGTTTATCAACTGCATGGCTTATAGTAGCTAGACTTTTATGGTCAAAGTACTGGAAACATGCATACAAACATGACAATTGACAAAAATTTTGATTACTAGTTCAGGATTTTCCACTGAAAGCAATATCAAAATATTGATAGCTGTAAACAACATTTTAATAGGATAATTTGCTTGTACTAGTTCAAGGTTTTCCACTGAAGATATATGACATATATTGTTACAATATACCTGGTTGCAAGTTGACATAACATAGGTTACTAATCTAGAGTTTCCACTAGAGGCAACATCAATGCTTTTCAATACTTACAAGCAAGTTCTTGTAATAAAAATATCTTGTTGGCACTAGTCCAGGATTTTTTACTAAAGGCACATAGCAATTTTCAATACAGGATACATGTAGTTAGTCGATTTTGATTTTTCCTTTACTTATCCTTTGTAGCAAGAGATCAATTATTTCTAGCAGCTTTATGACTTTCAAAAACCTGTTTCATGTTTATATATACAGTGCACCCTCATTATAACGGACCTCGTTTAACCGGATCCCTCAATATAATGGAGGGTTTTACTGGAACAAAAATTTAATTATTTGATTTCCCTCACTATTATGAATTTTTATATGATAATTCTTTATAACGGTTACGGACTAAATTATGTTATTGAGCATATAATAAAAATTTCACTATAATGGATTTGTAATCTCATGAACCAATGATATTAGTGATCTTTAATAATCTATTGTCCCCCATAACCACCACTTGTGATAAGAACTCACACATTTTTCCTTTATCGCAGGTTGGATGTTCCTAAGATCAGGTTCATTTTTAGTGACTTTCTTTCTCCTACGTGCCGTCATCATGATCCTGTGCCTTTCTTCAAAATATTCTAAGTGGAACTTCTATTTATGGGGTTCACTCGGCTTAAGGCAGTAAGTGTTGCATTGCTTATGTCCTCCGGAATTTAACATCCGTTGGTGTATTACTATGTGTTCTGTCAACCTTTTTCTTCGTCCAACAGCTTTACGGTGTGACATAGTGGTACAGCTCCATTGTTTCGCTGCAGGCGCATTTATCCATGTATTCATAGGCATGCTCTTAATCAGGTGCATCATGGTGATTTCATCGTCTCCCTTCCTTTGCCACCATTTCCAGATTCGCCCATTCCGTAGCACTCCTATTTCTCGGTGTGCTGATGGAGTTCTTCTGGGGTCAGGTTCAGGGTTTATTGGCTTCACTCGTTTGGCAGTGTCGTCTCCTCCTTCTTGATCACAATAGTCCGTGGCGATTTCTATGGTATGTCTTCCATCACGGTCATTATCGCTTTCGGCACTATCAGTAGGGCTATCACGGCTGCTAAGATGATCTGATTTAACCTCGTGGATTTCTCGCTCAGCAAGTATGATATTATCATTGCGACAATCTGATCTTGCTTTGCGTGGGTCAGATTCCTTCCTACTAGGTTCTTCGCATTTCTCGGTTGTGATGGCATCGACCGGCACCATCACTATTTTGTCCTTATCATCCCGAGAGTCAAACCTTACTTCTTCCTTTGTCTCCGCAGGGTTATCGTCTTCTGTTCCCTTCTTTTTGCAACACACCCCCCTTGATCTGGGATCACCGACTTTTCGTCACCTCTTGATTCGCTCCCAGCTTCTGCAATCTTGGCATTCCTCTCGTTGCCTTCGGGTGCTTCCACTTGCTCCCTCTCACTTGGCACTCTGGTGTCTTCATCGCTAGCTGTTCGAATCTCCGCACAGGTACGTTTTGGTTCCTCCTTGATTGGTTTCGTAGCTATGTCATTCTCCCGGGTCTTGCCTTGACGATCATTCCTCACCTTTAGGATTCTGTTTTGGGTTTCATTTGCGGCATGCGAGACTCCCGATGAATGTCCCGGTTTCACCTCTGCTACGTCATTCCTACTGCCATTGATGATATCAATTGTAGCTCGTTCGAATAACTGGGTAATGTTGTTCAAGAGTTTCTGAAGTTGGTCGGCATCCATGCTGAGCAAACTATTTCGGGGTCGGGTGGGAGTGTTGTTGCTTGGTTGCCGAAAATCTTCGTTGGTACGGGCGTCTAATTTATTTATTTTTTTATATTATTTTTTTTTTGTTTTTACTCGTTTATATT